CCTTCTACATTTACATGCTCACCTATATTCATGCACAAACACACAGACACAATTTTTCTAATTATTAAATTTTATGTAGCTTACTTTATTCACTTGTATCTTGGAGATTTGTCATTGCCAAGTATATTGTGTAGTATTCTGGTTTATTTAAATGTATTTTTTATTAATATACATGGATAATTTTAGGTTTTAAATTGTTATAAACATTGCTAAAATGGACATGCCTGGAAGCATTTGGATACATTGGATTTGAATAATAAATAGTTGGATTATATGTTTATGCTCATATGCAGTTATTTTATAGAATGATGATAGATATAATGTATAGAAGCCATTTGCATAATTAGATTTGGTAGCTGTTGTTAATTCCCCTCTAAGAAGTGAGAACTAGGGGCTGGGAAAGTGGCTCAGTGGTAGGGTGCTTGCCTTGCATGCCTTAGGCCCTGGGTTTGATTCCTCAGCACCACATAAGCAAAAAGAAAAAAGCTGGAAGTGGTGCTGTGGCTCAAGTGGTAGAGCGCTAGCCTTGAGCTGAAGAGCTGAGGGACTGCACCCAGGCCCAGAGTTCAGGCCCCATGACTGGACCCGCCCCCCCCCCCCCAAAAAAAAAAGAAGTGAGAACTAGTCTATTCCCACACTGGCAGTGTGAAAGTCTACTTCTCATAACATGCCAAAGTAGTACTTGAAATAAACAATAGTTTCTTTTGAAAAATTTTGCCTTTCTAAATGGCAAAAAAATTATATTGTTTTAATTTTCATAGACTCTACAATTTTTAGCTCTTTTAGAAAGAAAGAATCCAAGGTAGTCATTACACATAACAAAAATATTTGAATGGAATTTTGTTGATGGAAGGTATAGGAAAGTAGAAGGTGAAATATGTAAATATGAGAAAAAGTGTAGGCCTGAAATATCAGATATTGGAATGTAGAAATAAGGCAAAAAATAAAATACAATAAGGTAAAATACAAACTAAAAATGCAAACAGAGGCTACAGTTTAGGGTTGTGAGCCAGGGCAGATAATTTTGGAAGAAGGATTTAGCCACTGAGATACTGCATGCAGCCTAAGAGAAGACATAAACTTTGCATTGTAAAGCAATATGCAGATGATCTGAGACCAGGATATCTCACAAATACACCCATTTTATCTCTGTTATTTAAATTAAGTACTAGTGAAGAGTTGGCACCTTTTGTGCCTCTTTACTGTCTGTAAAAATTCTTTAGTAATTTAACTTAGATCATCTTTGAAGAAATATTAGTCAAACAAGCTACCCTTGATTTTATTTTGATTGTAAAATATGATTTGATCTAAAATGATTCAAACTAGGCAAAGTAAGTGATTAAGATGTGGTTTTTGAAAACAAATAATTTCAGGATATAGTGACCAGTAATTGTATACTTTAAAACTTAGGTTTTACTGTTTTTTAAATGTAATAGACTAATTTGGATTCCTCATAGATGAGACTTACATGGATAATGTTCTTTGTACAAGAAAATCAAGGAAACAAGCTAATAATTACTTTACCTTAGATTTTTATGGGTATTTCTTTCCTGTAGTATAGTCTTCTCTGAAAATGCACCTTAGAGTTAGCAATAACAAATACAGTTAGTTGGACACTGTTAGGTGGAAATTTTTCTTAAACTATTGAGGTAGAGGAATACAGGATGCCATTTATTTTGTTGCTGCTGTTTCTTTGTTTTCCTTTTATTATGGTTAAGCCATACTTAGGGTCTGGAGTATGTTAGTTAAGCAGTTTGTCAGTGACCCATACCACCAGCTAGAACAGTTATTTATTTATTTATGTATTTGTTTATTATTTAGCTACTTAAAAAAGAATGTTGAGAGTTTCTACAGATTCTTCAGGTTCTTAGAAGAAAAGTACTTCATCCAGCAACTCACTTCATTTTCTTTTTGGGGGGAGGGGAGGGGTCTGGTCATGGGGCCTGAACTCTGGGCCTAGGCACTGTCCCTGAGCTCTTCATCTCAAGGCTAGCGCTCTACCACTTGAGCCACAGTGCCACTTCCGGCTTTTTTTCTTTTTTGCTTATGTGGTGCTGAGGAATCGAACTCAGGGCCTCATGCATGCAAGGCAAGCGCTCTACGACTGAGCCTCCTTCCCAGCCCCTCATTTTATTTTCTTATCCCCAGTATATTTCTTCTTGAGACACAGGTTGGGTGTAATTAGTTAATAATGCTCATAACACATATTAAGTACTTGCTGTGAACTATCTTGTTTTATGTTCCTTCACTGTATTTATATTTCTACTTCTGGTAACGACCTGATGAGATATGTAGCAGTGTTACCACCCATTTAGAGATGAGGAAAGGAGTCATAGGAAACACTTAGTCTCCCAGTATTGTAAGAGCCACATCCCAGCTTTGACCCTAGCCAGATGGACTCTAGGCAGTCAAACTCAACATTTGATCCTGAAGTGCTTCTGCCTTGAGTATATCTGCTAGCGCTTTGTTAAGATAAAAAAGAGAATCTTCAGTAAGCAAACTGTAAATAAACTCCAGCTTAAAAAAAAACATTTAAAATTATGTATGAACTGTGTATACCAGCAATCAGTGAAAATTTCCATTACCACTTAAATTGTTTGGAAGTCAGAACATATAAAAGCAATTCTAGACCAGGTCATAATTTAAAGGTGATTGCTTTAAATTCTAGAGGTTGCAAACCTTTTCTTTTTAAAGGGCCTGAGAATAAACACATGGACACATTCGGTCTGTTCATATATTCTCAGGTTTTTTGTTTATGTTTTTTTTTTTTCTCTCAGTTTTAAAACTCATAAACATGGAGAATCCTTTCTTAAGTCCGAGGGTACATCCTAAGAAGCCAGCACCTTAGTTTTAGCCCCTGGGATGCATTTTACTATAGCTTATGTCAATTTAGGAACATATGGATTGACTCCCCTCCCAACAAACATGTCTTTTTATGCATGTTAAAACACTTTGGCTTCAAGAAATGATCTACAGATCTTCACTTGCTTCTCGTTCCCACTGTGATACCTGTATTGAAGTAATCCAGTAAAAAGCAGAGCCCATGACATATTATACTTTATTATGGCAATTACCTCATGGGACTGTGGAGCTGATGAATTTCCACAGTCTGCACACTGGAGTTCTAGCAGTTCAGCCCTTACTCCAAAGGCCTGAGAACCCAGGGGCAGATGGAGCCATTTGCATTCTGAGGATAAAGGATCAAGAACAAGGGCAGAGAGAAGATGAAGAAAGCTGCCTGTGTAAATTCTAGAGTACAGACTCCTGAGAACCTATGTCCTATGTCCTATAGGAGGAGATATTTGATGTTACAGCTGAAGCAGAAGTTGAGTTAGTCTTCCTCCACCTTTTCGTTCTCTCCTGAATTAGATTAGACCAGTCATATTGATGAGGGTGATCTTTTTTTGCAGGTTTCCTTTCTCAAATGTCAATCCATTTCAGAAACAGCTTTGGGGACACAGCCACATATAACCTTCTACCAGCTATCTTGACCTCCCTTTAGTCTAGTCAAGTTGATATGTAAAATTCGCCATGGTATAAATCTTTTAACATTGAAAATATTTATAAAGAGAGTGAGTGGTAAGTAAGTACTGGTGGCTTCTGCCTGTGATCCGAGCTGAGATCTGATTATTGTGGTTCAAAGCCAGCACTGGCAGCAAAGTCCATAAGACTCTTATCTCCAGTTAAATACGGAAAAAGCCAGAAGTGGACCTGTGACTCAAGTGGTAGAGCGTTAGCCTTGAACAGAAGGCTCAAGGGCAGCACCCAGGCCCAGAGTTCAACTCTAGGACTGGCAAAAAGGAAAAAAAAAAGAAAGAAAGTGAAAAACTCTGAGTCTTATAGGGTATGGGGCAAAAATATAGTTATGTGTAGATAAAGATATGTAAATGCCAGGCATGGAGGCTTATACCTGTAATCTCAGCTATGCGGGAGAACCTACATGGAAAAAAATGTTTGGGACCATAATTCAAATGGTAGAGAGCTTGCCTAGCAACTGTGATACCCTCTGTTCAAAATCTCACTAACCTTTCTCAAATAAGAGGAGGAGATATACAGAGCTTTGGGTTTTCTCAAACAGAATATAACTCTGGAATATTTCTTTCCACAATGATAGCAAGCAATTTTTTAAAATCCTGATTCTAAGAATTCCCTGTAGCAGATGCACATAGATTCATCCACGTTTATAGAGTTTTTTCACCTAGACTTTGCTCTCTGTGAGTTTACGGACATGTGCCTTTATTCCTTTTCCTTTTGCTTTGATAGTTCTTCACTTCCACTGAAACAATAGGCCTTGAAAGTAAGTTTTTTGAATAATGAAGTAGAAAGTGTGCTTTATGTGGTTTTAAATTCTGTATTAAATGTGTGTTTCTGAGAGTTCAGTAAGAAATAATTGCTTGGAGACTTGGAGAAGCAGTTTACCCAATGTCAGTGACAAATCTGAGTAAGAGAATTGTGCATGTTAATAAAATGATTTCACAATGGAACAGTAGCATGTATTTTTTTTAAAGAAAATTATCTCATTTTATATGTATAAATGAACACGTGTGTGGGCAGAGATTTTCTCAGCTCACCCCTAAAGTTCCCTTACAAAAAGTAAAATTACAAAGAATTAAAAGGCAAAGGATTTCTTTTCTTTTTTTTTTTTTGGGTCCGGCTGTGGGACTTGAACTCTGGGCCTGGGTGCTGTCCCTCAGCTCTTCAGCTCAAGGCTAGCGCTTTACCACTTGAGCCACAGTGCCACTTCCAGCTTTTTTCTTTTTGCTTATGTGGTGCTGAGGAATCGAACTCAGGGCCTCAGGCATGCAAGGCAAGCGCTCTACCACTGAGCCACTTTCCCAGCCCCAAAGGATTTCTTTAGAGGTATGAAGTTGGCTAATTTGCCAGCTGGATATAACTTACGTGATAAATCTTTCTTAGCAATTATTTATCTCTCCAGTGTATAGTTTTACCCAAAGAATCTTCTCTTATGACTTGATGATGTTCTTTTTTTTTCTTTGTAGAAAGTATCTCTATGTCACATCTTCCTTTAAAGGTGTATTTAAAAATGAAGTAAAAAAGGCGGAAGAAGCAGTAAAGATCGGTATGTGATTATTTGAAGTTCACATCATTATTGTTTATTCACTCAGCAGATTCTAATTGCTCACTTATTCTTAGACATGCGCTGCTCTAGGCATTGTGGACATCAAGTGTAATTCCTACCTCAAAGGAATCTCTTTACACATTTTCTCCATGTCAAAGTTGGTTTAATCATATGACTTCCTGTTTGAAGTCTGATCCTGATCATAGTTGTAATTAATCAGTTCATCTTTGGGATCCTTCTTGTCATGATGATGTGTTAGCTCCTAGTCAAGACCAGCATTGACCTACTTTAAGTAGGGTGCTGTCCACATTTGCTTTTCCCATAGCAGAGACAAGGCTGTGCCCTTTCCCAGTCTTCTGGGAGGAGCAGGAGTGCCTTCATTTTGGAGCATTTTCAGTCAGCCAAAGGTTGACTTACACGTGTGAATTTATAAGTGTAAACTTATGTCCTATAAATTGTCATGGCCCCGAGGGATCTCAACAGAAAGAAGATTTACAATGCAAAAAACTACAAAAAAGAGAACATAGGGTTGTCTGAGATTATTATCCTTATTGGTTATGGCTCCAAGTATAGAAAACACACCCCCAAAAATTGCCTGCAAGGATTTCACTGCATTATAACTGTTGCCTCTGCTTCCAGCTGAACTTGAGTTGAAAGAAGCACAAATCAAAACAAGCCAGCCTAACATGATTTCTTTGCCTTCTGCCAAGGTAGGACATGTAAAGAATCATCTTCTTAAATGGCTGACAGTGTCATTAACTTTTCCCAGGGCCTAGTTGTCTCTTACCATTTGCTTCCTAAACTTGTAAGCACAGGTGACCTCAGAAGATTAAGTTGTTTTTATCACAGGTAAATAGACTAGATAGATGAATGTAGAGAAAGAGGAAAGCCAACAAGAGGGCCTGGGGAGTGCAAAGAAGAACAGAACGTGTGGTAAATTTGGAACAGTGCAAAAGAGCATTGCAACAAATTTCCTTGAAAAGGAAAGTAATGCAAGAAAGGAAGAGAATAATGAAAAGCTAGCAGATTAAAAACAAAATCTAGCCTAGCAAGTCTCCTTGAAAATATCTATTCAAATTACAGCTCTTCATGTGTGCACATAAATGGCAAAGGCAAGAAGAAGAGTAATAAGCAATCTTGCTTTCTAGAACTAGGAATTACATTCCATAATTATGAATATTAATATCAGTGCTTCAGGCTTCCAAAGCTCTTTTCTTATGAGTTGCTTCATACAGTTCATAAACATTCTCTATAATCCTTGCAATATACCCATGATTAAGACAGAACTATTATTATTAATTATAACATTGCAGCTAAGAGAAAAAGACTATTGCTGCAGGGTATATATTATAAGTTTGCTAACTTTCACCAAAAATATGGCAAATCATGGGCAGCATATTTATTTGTTGCTGTACAAAAAGATGAGCAGGAAAAGGCTTCCTTTTATCCCCTTCCATAGAGTAAATATATGAACCTTACTCAATAATTTGCACATAAACTTTCCAAGGACCAGGGCTGTGTCTGACAGTCTTCTGCCTAACAGGCATGTGTAAGGAATGAAATCAGAGTAATGTGTGTAATATCCCAAATCGAAGCTAAATCATGACTTTCTCCAGACTCTTACTTTCTGCTTTTTACTTATTTTTAAGCTAAAGGTAAACCTATCTTATTGTTATTGATTTTTTTATGTTTTAACTTTCTTTCCCCCTATTTTGTCTCTAAGAAATCAATACCCTTTGCCTACTCTATTTGAGAGTGGAGGGAGACATTGTTTCTAATAGGTCACACTGTTGCTTTCTTCTTGCCTTAGCCTGCTGCTCTCAATGTCTCTTTGGTGGGTGCGCTCAGTGCCCTTCCAGGAAAGGTGGGCCTGGCTTTGAGCAGCTTGCTTTGTTGTTCTGAAGAACCCTCGTCCACTTTCATGCAAAGAAGAGGGCAGAGCAGAATGACCTGGACTTTTGACCTGTTAAATGCTCCTAGGCAGTAGAATTTGAAATGAAAATACTTACCCACTATTTCTCGTGTTCTTTTACTTAAAAGACAGTGAAATGGTATTCTGTCAGTGTTGTCTCCATCAAAAGAGGTCCCTGTCTTTCACCTAAGTGGGTGAAACTTACTCAAAGTCTATTCTTATTTGTAAAGACAGTAGTAACAAGTTATTCCTTTTCTGTCTGGCTAGAGCTTAATAAGGTAGTGAGACAATGTATCAAATTAAAGTGTAGATTAGGGAGACTATTGGCTGGCATTGGGGCTTTTCTAAAGGAAAAAAGAAACCCAAGCATCCCATAATAGAAAGGTTTGGGGGGTACTAGGAAGAAGTATCCAGAACTTTGTACCAAGGAGGCTGTTTTTTTTGACTGCTAATGAAATTTACTAATTACTTGATCTTTTAAAATTATGCCATACATTTGAGCATCTGTTGTTTTCACAGACAAAACTTAAAGCCCAGATAAATTGGACAAGTCACCCAGATCTTTATATTGTTTGTTGCAAAGTCACTTTACCAGTAAAGGGAATAAAAATTCTCTTTTAAAGGCAGAGAAGAATTTGAATATATGTCAGAAGAGAACAGAGGGTAGAGATTTGATTTGTCTTCTTAACTCTTGAGTGTCTACCAGAACCTATGGAGTGTCAGCTGTGGTCAGTTGTGTTAGGCAGTGTGAGTTCTTATTGTTACTCTTGAACTGTCTAGATAATAAAATAGCTCACCTTTGCTGATCCAATAGTTTTATTTTCTCTCTTGACCAAATGCACTTCTCCAGAATGTGTTACAGAAAGCTTTGGAAGATGTAGAAGCAAAGCGTAAGAATCTTAAAGAGAAACAGAGGTAAGACAGAAGATTTTCTCTATACCAGGACCCTCTGTGCTGCATTAAAACAAATTCTGATTTCTAAGTAGGCAGCGTTCATGGTCATGGTGATGGCTTCTCTTTTGGCTTGTAACATCTCATTATGTCAATCCTAGCAGAGTCGTGTTTCTCCAACTGAGATAAGGGATATCAGATGTTTATAAAGCATATAGTGGCAAGTGTACACATGGGTAGGATGCAAAGAGAAATGTTGGGCAGTTTAGGTGACAATATCTAGATGAGGTGATCTGCCCATAGGATCACCAAACAAATTCACTGTACTTTTTCATTTAAATCCTGAAGGGTTGGTTCTAGTTTCCTCTTGTATATGGTAGATTAAAGTTTAACATAGGAAATAATATTCCAAATAACTGTATCACTTACATCTAATTAAGTGACACTATGTTGGAAATGAACTATATAACTTGGGAGAGGAGGGGTGGGGTCAGGAGGGGAAAAAATGGGTAAAAATATGGGAGGGGTGACACTATTCAAAAAGAAATGTACTCAGGGCTGGGAAGGTCGCTCAGTGGTAGTGCTTGTCTTGCATGCATGAGGCCCTGGGTTCGATTCCTCAGTACCACATAAGCAGAAAAAACCAGAGGTGGTGCTGTGGCTCAAGTGGTAGAACACTAGCCCTGAGCTGAAGAGCTGAGGTACAGTGCCCAGGCCCAGAGTTAAGGCCCCATGATGGACCAAAAAACAAAAAAGGAAATAAAAGAAATGTACTCATTACCTGATTTACATAACTGTAACCCCTCTATACATCACCTTTACAATAAAAAATACCATTAAAAAATAAAAATAGCAAGACTCTGTTAACAAAAAAAATCCCAAATATTTACATATGAAGTTGATTTGTTTTTCAACTCACAAAATACCAGACAAGTTAAACTGAAAATAATCACTGCTGCCCAGGAGAGACTTTGGAAATGGTGATATCTCTTGTTGAGAGAGTTTTTATAGGAGAGAATAATTAAATTTGGGCGCTTTGCTCAGTTCTTAGCCACCTCCTGTTTCTTCAGATCCTGCTAATTCTCAAGTTCTGTTTTATACTTTCAGTGGAAAGTCATTTAATACATAGTGTGGAAGGACAGAGTCAGAAAGACAGGAGTTCATATCTATTGCCCTAGTAAACTTGTTTTATTGGTTTTATTTACCTCCAATTTTTGGGAAAGGTTAGAAAGAAAGCTAAAGAATATCTTTGGCTCATTTTAATCTATGTAGCGCATTTATAAACTTGAGAACTTTCTGCAAGGTAGACATGACATCTAGTATTGGAAATACCTGAAAGTTTGTAAGTGATAAATTTTCATAAAAATAACATGGTGATGTATGTACTGTATCAGACTACTTAATAGTTCAGAACTCTTGGTGTTTTCTGATTTATGTGAATTTAAATTGGCGGACTTGGCTTCTGAATCAATAAGAGCTTGTGTTTGACTGGTATAGTTGTGTTTTTCTTTTTTACATTATATTAATGCAGAATACTTGGTTGGAAAGAGATATTATCCAATATATCCATATATACATACCATCCTGGATATATCAATCCTTCAATGCTTATCTTCTGGGTTTAATAATTAGCAGTGTTAGACCTATTATTTTGATTCAATGAAAAATTGTTTGTTTTTGTCAGTCATGGTGCTTGAACTCAGGGCCTGAACACTGTACCTGAGCTCATTTTACTCAAGGGTAGTACTCTACCACTTTTTTGGGGGGGGGGGGAAGGGAGTCCGGTTGTGGGGCCTGAACTCTGGGCCTGGGCACAGTCCCTCAGCTCTTCAGCTCAAGGCTAACGCTCTACCACTTGAGCCACAGCGCCACTTCTGGCTTTTTTCTTTTTGCTTATGTGGTGCTGAGGAATCGAACACAGGGCCTCAGGCATGCAAGGCAAGCTCTCTACCACTGAGCCACCTTCCCAGCCCCACACTCTACCACTTTGAGCCACAAAGCTAAGTCTGGTTTTCTGGTGGTTAATTGGAAATAAGAGAGAGTCTCATGGATTTTCCTGCCTAAGCTGGCTCTGAACTGCGCAACTCAGATCTCATCCTTCTGAGTAGCTAGGATTACAGGCTTGAGCCACCAGTGCTCAACTCAATGAAAAGTTTAATATAACTTTTGTTTTTAAATATAACTCTAGAGAATTAAGAAAATCAAGAACACTTTCCCTGTTCTTTGGAGTAAACATAGAAAACCAAAGCCAAGCTGGAGTGTTCATTTACAGTAACAACCGTTTGATCAAAATGCATGAGAAAGTGGGCCCACAGTTGAAACTGAAGTCCTTGTAAGTATAGTCTTGTTTTCTGACACACACATGGGAAGAGGGAGGCTGAAGTGAGATTCTGTCTGTGGGAAAGATGACTGGGTCATCATAATGAGAGCATGAACTGTCTCTTTCTGTCAAGGAATTAACAGGCTGAATTTATAGTATTAATGAAGCTGTGTGCTTGCTCTAAGGAAAAAAAACACACTTTAAAAGGGGAACAGATTTCAATTTCTTGAATTGCTTGCTATGTTTCCACTCTTTGTATCATCTGTTCAGGTTTCTACTATTTTACCAATTTAAAAATGAGAGAGAAGGGCTCTCATTTGCGAAGATATAATTGGTGCATCAAAGTAAGGGCATTGGAGTAAGCGTTAGATCACTGGTTGATTTCTCTCAGAACAAGTTTATATAACCACACAAAATCCTATGTGTATTTTGCCACCACAAAAATGGGCCGAGTTTTCTCACAATCCTCTTGCTAATTAGGCTAACAGTCAGATACCTGCTATTATTCTCAGAGGTAATGAAAGCCTATGTTTTCTTAGTAGAAATCATTGCCACCCAGTGACCTCCACAAAGAGAAATCTAGCCTGACAGATTAAATGGGAGACAAAAATATGACCTTGACCCACACCGTTAAGAACATCTAGCCAGTTTCTTGCAGTTTATTGCATTGCTAATGGAGTTTAAGCTAAAATTCCCCTGCCTCCCCCCTCTTCCCTTTCCCACAAACCCTGATTCCCATGCAAAGTCATAGGTTTAGAAAAAGAGTTGTATTAACTGAACAATGATATGCTGATATGATTTTATATGATGGAACCAAACAACCAAGGATGACTTTATTTTGTTTATTTTTTGAATGGTATTGCTGTGTTTTATTTGAGTCTAGCAATTATTAATAGGTAAGGAAAGGCTCTCTCCATTTATAAAAAGATTGACAAGATGACTTTAGATTTATGATAATGAAACAAAATTATAAGATAATTTGCTCATTTTCACACAATCTAGATGAAATGGTGAACTTATTTTCTGGAAAGAAGTTATTCCAAATGGCAACTCTGTATGTTGTTTTTATTTTTCTTCAGCCAACATGTACACAATTTATGTATGTGTTTATTCCCTCAGACTTGGTGCAGGTGTGGTTGGAATTGTTAACATACCTTTGGAGATCATGGAACTATCCCATAATAAACAAGAATTTCTTAATGTTCAAGAATATGACCATCTACTAAAAGTCATGGGACAGTATTTGATCCAGTATTGTAAGGACACTGGAATGAGTGAGTATTCTGTGGTCATAGTAAGAAACTACCCTTTGTGATGTCTTTAAGCTGAAATGAGGAGAATCCCTGCCTTAAAACCATAAGTAAGGTGCTGGATGTAGAACTAAGTGTTAAGAGCATTTACCCAGCCTGCACAAGGCTGTAGGTACAATCCTCAGCACCACAAAAGACAAAAGGGAAAAAAACACGACAAATAAACAGAAAAGAAGGGAGACCATTTCAGAAGCTTTTCCAGAATATCATTCAAAAAATAAAGCAGGCGATCAGAAATTATAGGAAAAGAGCACAGAGCAGGAGCAGCAGAGAATGTCATTCCAGATAGACTGAGAAACTCTCCAAAGATGCCCTGAGATGCCACTGTGTTGGAGCACACAGTCCCTCATAGACCTCTAAGAACACTTCTCTCATAATACCCTGGAGTAATTGTAGACAAACACTTAAGCAGCAATGTAGTAACATCGTTATTAATATATATATATATATATATATATGTACACACACACACACATATATATATATAAAATCACTTGTTGAATATGTTACTTCAAAAAAGATTTCAAAAGAAGAATAACTAAAATAAATATGTTTCTGAGCCGGGCGCTGGTGGCTCACACCTGTAATCCTAGCTACTCAGGAGGCTGAGATCTGAGGATCGTGGTTCAAAGCCAGCCCAGGCAGGTGGTTTATCTCCAATAAACCACCAGAAAACCGGAAGTGGCGCTGTAGCTCAAGTGGTAGAGCGCTTGCCTTGAGCTGAATTGCTGAGGGACAACGCCCAGGCCCAGAGTTCAAGCCCCACGAGCGACAAAAAAAAAAAAAAAAGTTTCTGGAAACCTAAAAGATAATTTGAGGTATGTGGGAAAATTGGATCTACTTAGCTCACCTCACTTCCCTGAGAGACTTCAGTGACAAGATAGTGTGCTGAGTGTTAAATAAGCAGTTGTTTTTAAGTTATATGGACATAGGGTTTCATTTAGGCAAGCAGCTACATTAGACAAGCAACTATATACCTTTTTAATGATTTGCATTAAGTTTGCATAATTCATGCATATCAATGACATGTTTCTTGCCAAAGGACAACTTAAATCTTGTTCTTACTATGTTTGAGATTGTCAATTTAGAGTGATAGCTCCTTGTTTGGATCCATTCTCCTTGAACCTAAAGTTTTCTTACCAGTGAGACAGAGGGAAGAGGTCAGGAACTCAGGGATAGAAACAAGAGGAGGATGAGGTTAAAGGACTGGGTTCTCTGCCCAAAATGGGTTTTCTGATCATGGTATAAAACCCACTCAGTGTGCTCTGTGGCCCAGCATCAATACCCACACCACATGGAGCCTGCAGGAAAGCAGACTTGCCTCCTCACAAGATCTTTGAGTGATTTGTTTCGGTACACATTCATGTTTGAAAAGCTGCTCTCTCATTTTATAAAGCATACTTTTTTGTACATGCAATTTCTTCCTTCCTCAGAGTCACGTTTCAAGTGATACTCAATATAGGAACCTTGATTGCCACGGTTAGCTAAAGATGTAGCATAACACATAATATTAGCTTAGTGAAATAGAAATCAGAATCTTATTTTTTTATTTGAACAGGGTACTGGAGCGTGAATTCAGGGCCTCTCACTCTCTTGGCTCTTTCACTGGAGCAGGTACTCTACCACTGGAGCCACAGCTCCACTTTTGGCTTTTTGCTGGTTAATTGGAGATTAAAAGTCTCACAGACTTTTCCTTTCATTTCCTGGGCTGGCTTTCAACTGTGATCCTCAGATCATGAGAAGTAGTTAGGATTAAAGGCATAAGCTACCAGCACCTGGCTCTCTTTATGGATTTTAAATGCTAAAATAGTACAAAAGGCAAAGATTAAGCACTTTACAAGTATGCATTTCCCTCATCTTTTCATAGTCTCTTTGTAATCCTGTCCTTGTCATCCTCATCCCTACAATATGGAATTAAGTCCTTAGAAGGAGGAAAGCATTAACTGTAAAGGACTTAGAAACGACCTCCATATGGCACACTTGCGAGAGTCAAGGTGCTGGTTAGAGATAGAGTTCTCTCACTCCCTCTTCCTAGGGGAGTACATACCCCAAATTGTTTGACCACCCACTCTGGGGTGTCATTTGGCAGTACCCTTACCAACTCTGTGTAACTCACTGTCCTTATCCTTTCTTCTCTCTCTCTCTCTCTCTCTCTCTCTCTCTCTCTCTCTCTCTCTCTCTCTCTCTCTCTCTCTTTCTTTCTTTATTTATTTATTTTGGGGGGGTGTTGTCCTGGGGCTTGAACTCAGGACCTGGGCACTGTCCCTGGGCTGCTGTTGGTCAAGGCTAGGTCTCTACCACTTAAGCCATTGTGCCACTTCTGGCCTTTTCTAAGTAGTTTATTGAAGATGAGAGTCTCCTGCCTAGGCTGGCTTTGAACCATGATCCACTGGCACCCAGCTTCCGCCTAATTTTTTTTGAGGGGGGGGTCAGTCATAGGGCTTGAACTCTGGGTCTGGGCAATGTCCCTCAACTCAAGGCTAGTGCTCTACCACTTGAGCCACAGCACCACTTTCAGTTTTCTGGTGGTTTATTGGAGTTAAGAGTCTCATGAACTTTCCTGCCCCGGCTGGCTTTGAACCATTAATCACAGATCTTAGCCTCCTGAGTAGCTAGGATTACTGGTGTGAGCCACCAGTGCCTGGCTTCTGCCTAATTTTTCAATATCTTCTCTAGTGATAGGGTTCAATATTAGTGTTATATTTGCACTTTTATTATTAATGGTTAATAGTATATTGTTTTCCTAATCCCCCAATTGTCTGCAAATTAATTTATCAATAGAAGCTAATCTCACAAAGATATTCTCCTAGAAGGAAGGAGGGAATGAAACACAGATAGGGAGTATGTCTCTCAAACTTTCACCCCAAACTTCAAACTGAATCAAATAATCAGTGTCAGAACTAATAGACTCAGTAACTTCTGAGGAGATTGACCTTCAAGGTTTTTGCTTATTAATTCCTACAGGAATGACAAAAGTTGCCTAATACTTGATTAATACTCTGAAAGCCAGTACTACAGGGCACACAATTTTAATAAAAAGTATTTGGGTAGGTTTTTTGCCTTATAAATAAAAGATGCAATCTTTATGTTGCTGTAAGTCTGATCTGTTTCCATGGAAAATGGGGCCCTGTAAGAATCAAATCAGCAGAAAGGGAAATGGAGAGGTAATGACTTCGTGTCATTTATCCTATCTGCATTTACTTTTGGCACAGTTGATGCTAAGGATCTCAGAAATATTTTTTCTCTTTTCTGAGTCTGACCTCTCCTCACTGTCTGCTGCATTTTCTGAAACTTTATGCATCCTTACAATAAAATGGCAATATTATTCATTACCTTTGGGGAGTAGGGAGAGGAGAAAGAAAAGATGGCAGTAATAGCAAATAAAATTTTGATTTGAACAGAACCAATTAGGTAGAAATGTGTTTACTAAACTTCTCCAGAATGGATCTGAATTGAACTGATGTGCTAAAATGAAATCTATGGTGTTAGAAACATAACCTTGCCCACAGAATTTAAATCATAGGTCTTTTGGTTCACACAGAGGCTAAAAATCATTTGGTCTGGTCACTGAAATCCTTTCAATCTCATGCCATTTAAGCTTGAGCAAGGGCCTCCCACGAGAAGGAAAATGATAGCTTCTTGAATTGGTCCATGAATCTCTACTCCACTCTATTAGAAATATGTCTTCCTGTTAAACCTGTTTATTTCTCATGTGTGCTTTGATTTGTTAAGCTGTGCTTGCCCTAGGACTAAGAAATCAGACATGATCCACCCTGTGTGGATACTGCCAATCTATCAGAGTGCTATGTTCTAAGTGTGTGTGTGTGTGTGTGTGTGTGTGTGTGTGTGTGTGTGTATGTGCGCGCGCTCGCGCATGTAAAACAGATATCAAATCCTGACTCTGAGGGAATGCTCTATGGAAGAGGGATCTTGGGGCAGGGATTGGGGGGCAGATTATTAGTAGTCATGAGAACAGAGGCCTCATGACTGAGATTGATGCCATTATATAAGCGGTGTTAGCAAGACCCCTGTGAGGTTAGAGTGAGAAGATACCAAGAAGTGCACCCTCTACAAACTATTTTATTAAGATGTCTCTTTCATTGGGAGCCATGCATTCTCCAATAATTGTCTCTCATTAATAACACTAGCAGTTAGTGATCAGTGATCAAATCCCATAGAGGTTCCAAAAACAGTTACTGTAATCCTATGAGATTTTTATTTTATTAGTTTTAATATTTCAACAAAGAAAAGCATCCTGTTATATACAATTTGGTTACCCATTACTAATTTGTAAATTCAGTTTGACAGATGCAGTAGAATTCTAAAGTGTTCAAAATTTCTTTGAGTAAGAACTTGATGTGAGAGGAAACAGAGACAATGAAAACATTCAGATATGACATAGACACTCCATGTAATTAGTTATGAGGCATAAATGTATGCTCTATGTAAAATCTTCAATTCATGTCAACTCCTACCAATAACTGGATGATGGTTCAAGAGTTCACTGGTTTACTTCTATTGGGAAAAATCATATTCTTAGGTTTTATCCATTTACTTTTTCCTGATGATTGGAATCACTACTGTCAACAGTTCGTGTGCTTCCTTTGTCTTCTGATTGTACTTATCATGATGACTTTAATTTTCATTGAAGGTTCTTAGAGGATCTCACCTGTCCAGAAAAGTCTAGGACCTCTATTTCATTTGAAATTTTGTACCATTTGATATTCCTTTGTTACACTTGAGCAGGAACTCCCAATCCTCTCCACTAGCCTGTTTGTGTGCCCTGTAGAAAAGAAGAGAGGGTTATGTTTAATGACTGGACTTTTCCCCCCAAAGCTATTTATTGAGAGGTCTTTTTCAAATTATGCTAACGTACATGCCATTTTCAGATCTACAAATATGACATTCAGGTACATTTCCATTACTGTGCATCCATCAGAACTTTTTACCTTAGAGCTTTTGCA